ATTTGTTTGTATTGACCCTGAGTAGTTTATTAAGATTGTTTTCACTCCGGTATGACACTATATTAATGTTGTGATCGTATTGTTGTTTTCAACTTAATTGATTTCGCTTAACGTTTACTACTCTATTATCTATAAATGAAATAGACTATTTTGATGTCCAATCATGTGAAATTACTTGTTTTCAAACTTGTGTGCTTTGGAATTGAGTTATCCTACTGAGTTGGTTGGCGTTCACCTTACATTACTTCACTCTTTTTCAGATGGACTCGAGTCATGAGAATGTAGAGCTTGACTTGATGAGCTTATTGTGTTTAGTTTGACTTGGTTTGTTTTAATCTGAGCATGTACGTTGCAGTTCAATGATTCAATGAAAGGTTATTTCTTAGGTTGCATCAAGAATAATGTTAGAAGTTTGTAAGCATACGATTAATGGCATGGTATGAAAATTAGAACAACTTGAAAGCTAGAATGGTATTATTGAGGCGTCTAATGCTTGGGTTACTATGAAAATTGGGTCAGGGTGTGACAAAGTGGTAATGAAGATTGCTCATTATTTAAAAATTGTAACATTAATTACTTGTGAAGGCTATTAACACTCTAGTTTACATGAGTTAGGTCAAGGCATCATAGAGTTGGTGTTATAGCTTATCAGATAATGCACTCATGTGATGAAAGAAAGCTCCAAGGGTATGGCTGTGGATGACCTTGATTGAAGCTCATTGAGCAAATCTAATAGTAAAAAGGACAGGTCATTCGGTTTTTTGATTGGCAAAACACAGTCTGGTTAGATAACCATCCAGGTGGTTGTTAAAGATCAAGGCTAAAGCACTCTGCCACCAATTTACAAAAAGAGAGGAGATAGACGGCTCCCCATGGAAATGTTTGAAACGAAAGGAATTCAAAGACTTATTGTAGGCTGAAGAAATAAGATGGACAGGAAAAGGGTCTCTGAACTTGACACTTCGATTTGCATGTTCATCAATGAGAGAGTGCATAAAGGGTACTGGAACACTCTAAGTGAAGCCAAATTGTCTGGTTATCTGACTAGGAGAGTAATTTTTGAAGCTACACCTAGTGTATTTGGAATCATAAATTGCAACACCCACATGGAGGTAGCAAGGAAGGATAACACTGCCCAAAAGGTGTGAAGGCAATCGGCTTGCTCATCAGTAAGATCGATGGAGCCATTGAAAAATGTCTTGAGATGCAAACAGGAGTAGAGGCATTCAGAGAAGGGCAAGAAAAGAGGAGGATATCAATCAAACTCCAAAACATACATAAGGAAATAGTGAGCATAGTTGGTAGGACGAAATTTCTACGGAAGGAGATACTCAATGGCCTAAATTTCAGGGATATAGGCATATAACCATACTTAGAATAGCCAAAAATGTCCTCCACAATTACTGTCAATTCCCCTTTCAGCCATGTCGAAGAGGCTTGTATAAAGAGCTTCCAAAACAAAAAAAGCCAAGGCCAATACTTTTTGATCTACCAAAAGAATGACAATGTTATAATATTCCTAGGTGACTTTGAGACTAAGAACGCAAAGGACAAAGTGACAAAGCCAGTGAAGAAGGAAAGCCACGGCTTGTTATAAGAAAGGGAGTAGATTTGGCTTATAAAGAAGGTGATATGATCTGAATAGTTGAAATTATCTGGAATATCTAGCAAAATGCAGTTAGGCTTCAAATTTGCAGTTACCTCAATCCCAGTTAATGGGGGCCCTGACAGGTGTACAACATCTAGGATAGATGGAGAAATCATGTTAGGAGGAAGTAACATGGCATTACAAGATTTTGACCAAAAGAAACTAGTTGCACTTATGAGCCAACAAGTCATGTACAATGGACTTGTTGAGAGCTTGATTTGTTCATAAATTTTTTGTTCTCTCCAACGATCAAAACAATATGCCTTCATGCGTTCCACCGAGTCAGGTCATTATTGGTCTAGATAAACCCAAGATTTAAGAGAAGTGATCCCTTGATCCCAAGACTTCCATTGAAGGTGAGAACGATGAAGTGTTAGAATTTTTCCTTTGGAAATGGGGTAGTGCTCAAATAGATCTGGTAAAGAAGCCTGATTTGATGGTTGTGCCCAATGTGAAATTTGAACCAGAACCCACAAAGGGGATCAAAATTTTGTCATCCACCAATTCTCGAATGGCATATCTAAGACTAGTAGAAAAACGAAGAATAGGATGGACATTCGAAAGGGGGGTAGGAGAAGAGAATTGACCCACCTTTCGTTTAGACGCCATTAGAAAAAAGACCAAGAGAGTAAAGACAAAACAAAGAGAAGTTGTCAAAGGTAAATGTGGGAATGAGAGGTACAAACGAAGGTTTGAGTGAACATTGCGGTAGTCAAAGTCCTTAAATAGGCATTCAGGAGTTAAGTGGTTACAAACTGTTCATTTACTTGAGTTATCACTCAATTAAATGAGGGGGCATTGTTTGGATTTAAAATATAAAATCTCAAGAATGTTCAATGGATGTACATCAAATCTGAATGTTTTAAAAAGATGTCACGTAACAGAATCTGAAGAAATGTGAGAGATGATTTAGTCATAACCACATTTGAAAAGAATAAGTAACTAATTAAAAATTACCAGTCAGATAATCATAGATGGAGGCAAAACCTATCGAAGATAATAGCTAGAAAAGGCATATAGTGGAGAAAATACAAAGGACATTCAAACCCCCACAAGACTCACGATCTGTGCATTTTAAGAGTAATGTTAGATTAGTTTTTAGGAAGCAATTACTATAGCAATCAAGGCTATTAGTCTAATATTTTCTGTAATTGAAGTCTCTTCAATTGAATTCATAAAGAAATTCTATTTTATTAGCTCCCTGTATTGTGTGTTTATCCATTAAAATTCATCTAAAAAAATTCTGATGTAAGACATTTGAACCTCTTACAAACAATCTCCTAAAAATGATCTGTCGATTGACTCTCCTCCATCGATACAGCAGAATTTGGAGCAATAATAATATGCATATATATGTTGCAAATTATGTTTATATTCCTTTTGACAAAGACAATAACCTAATTACCCTTAACAAAGATCACATGACTCATATGTAGGAGTGTCAAATGTATTGGATTGGGTCATTTCATGCAGGGTTAATTTCGAATTTGTGTCGAAAATCTCAAAACTAGAACTTAACATGTTTAATAATCGTGTTAAGATGTGTAAACACTAATCTGACCTGGTCATTAAACGGATTACCCGAACCCGATCTGTTTGACACGTTTAATAAACAGGTCGTTTTTGAGTTAACACACATAACATGATTTATTTAACCTATTTAACACACATAACTTATTCTCACACTTGTTAATTAACATTAAATACACTATTCAATCATTCATCTAAAATTTTAAATAATTTTGTCACAAATAATATATCACATCTCATCAATGAAATTAACTAAAATGCATTCAAGTTTCAACTCAAAAATTAAAACAAGAACTATGCTGCCAATTATCATAGTAGAAACAAGAACTAATAAGTAATAATGTTAAAATCATATCATTCATACATAATAGTCAAACTATACTGCCATAAACAAGTTAAAACTGTTCTACAATGGGTTAGGTCGGGTTCGTGTCCAAATCATGTCAACTCGTTTACAATATGCGGATTAATCAAGTCAAAATCGGGTTAACTTAATTTTAACATGAACCCGACATAATTTTTTTCGTTTAAACGTGTTGACCCGTTCATTGACTCGTTTAATTTTGTGTCCGACCCATTAATTTCATGTTCAATTTGTGTCATGTTAACATGTCGTGTCAAAAATTAGCAGCCCTACTCATAATTGATAGTTTTTCGTCAATATTTTAAATAGCAGTTAGTTGTGGGAACTAAATTGATGTAATTGTTAAGTCTTAGGATTAAATTGACAAATTAAAATTTTAGGAACTAAAGTCCAAGTAGTGATAAATTTTAGGGGCTATTGATGTAATTTACTCTATTGTTTTTGTAGTGCATGTCCTCATTTTTTCATCACTCCTACTAAATATTACTAGAGTAAAATTGTATGCACCAAATTTGTGTAACAATTGACATTGCACAATTTTATTTATTGGATAATTAATGAGAATCAATGATACTTATTATTCTACCCAGTCATATTAATTTACAACAAAATTTAGTAAAACAAGAAAAATATGTAGAAGTACCTTTTCTTTTAAAAAAAAAATAATAAAATTTTAATTATATAATAATATTCGAAAGGAGGAGGGACGTGATAAAATCAGGAACCCTCCATCCCATACATCAAAACTAGTGCTTTGAATTCATTTCAGTTGGGTTGGGCATACCACAATAGTTAAGTCAAACTTTATCCAAATACTCATGCACATACTAAAGCCTTTCTTTGGGAACATTTGGGATACGAATTAGGACAAGTGATTCGTTGGAATCATTCTCTCTAAAAAGCTAGAAACATGTTTAAAACGGTGAACCGACAAAACAGTTAACCTTGTACTATTATATAATACCACCACACAATAATTAACAAAACCATACACATAAAATAATACACAAAGAAATAGATTAAAGTATTTTGAACTCGATTTTGAAGTGTAATCTCAACCCATCAACAAGAAATGATGAGGAATATCATCTAGTGATGTTTAGCTGTCACCAATAAGCACTAGAGTCAGAATATTGTCATAAGTGAAAGCTTTTAGCTACTGTATACCCATCGATAGAAAAATATTAACTAATATAAAGTTCTAAAATAAAAAATTTTAAGCATAACAAATTTTAAGCGTATCAAGATTGGCACAGAGCTTTTAATGTAGTCCTAATTTTTTTTTAAGGAAATCATGACAAGGCTGCTGCGTGAACATAAGGGGCCTTTTTGGCAAGGAAGTCACGACAAAGCTGCTGCATGGACATAGGGGCCATCACTTTGACAAAATGAGTAGAATAGGTGATGGGAATGCTACGCAAGAAAAATTGGCTCAGGCGTGGATGTGTAATTTAGGCACAAATTTGTATTGATATGGAGTTTTGTTCGAAAATATAAGATTACATTGCCATGTTCCATCTCCCATACTTTCCAAGCATATATAATATAAAAATAATAACTTTTATTTCACTGAATCCGTGACAAAGCAAACAATAATATTACTTTTATCTGAAAAGGAGAAGTGAAAACTAACATATTAGTACCATAGTTGGTAACGGAATATCATTAATACAGTCAAGCAATCACCTAGTACTATGAACACAGGTGTTCCAATCTTTCTCCCTCTACTTTGTGTGCTGTTGAAATGGCTTAGGTGGAATGCTTTGCTCGTTCCTGAAGAAATTATCGGGATCAATCAAGGTCTTCGCTTTCACCAACCTATCAAAATTATCCTTGAAATACTTCACCCCATAAACTTCACCTTCATTGTAACTATTTTCACCATTGTCAGTAACACCAATGTCAAGGTCTCTGTAGTTGAGAAAAGCTTGCCTAGGGGACTTTGACACAAAAGGTGTCATGTAACTGAATAGCCTCCTAATCTGATTCAAATAATTCTTCTCCGCTTCAATTCCTTCCTCGTTCCAATTCACGGAGTACTGTATTTTGAATATGTTCCCGGCTCTATGTGGAAAAGGTGTTGCCTTCTCTGAAATTTCACTCATTCTCCCACCATAAGGATTAAAAACAAACCCAGTTTTTCCCAACTCAATCATCTTCTTCCAAATCCATTCCAACCCATCTTTGGAAATTGGATTCTGAACGTAATCCGATTTCCGCTTCAAGAAATTCACTGAATCTGGTGTCCGGCTAAGCAAAATATCCGGCGACGTCCCACTATCAAAATTCGCCCAGTAAAGAACTGAATCAATCCAACTCATTTCCATACAGTCTGCTTTCTTCAAACCCAATTCTGGAAAATCCTTGTTCATAATTGTCATCAATCTATTTGCATCTCCAAGAAACAGTGAAATAAAAGATGCTCTAATAGTTCTCTCACCCTTTTTGCTACCACTAACTGGCTGCAAAAGCATCCTAATGAACAAATCATTGTCAATCTTATCTGCCACAAATTGCCACCTATAAACTACATCTGTAGCATTCTGTTCCAAAGTTTTTTGAACCCTAAAAACTGTAACAATTTCAGGAACTTTAACCAACTTAATCTTATAAGCCAAAATAACCCCAAAACTAGCACCACCACCACCATTGATGGCCCAAAAAACATCTTCCCCCATAGCTTTCCTATCCAAAACTCTACCCTTCACATCAACTATTTGTGCATCAAGCACATTATCAACAGCTAACCCATATTTCCTCAGCAAAACCCCATAACCGCCGCCACTTATATGGCCGCCGGCCGCCACCGTCGGACAAACTCCGGCAGGATAAGTATGAATTTTACTTTTTTCCCAGATCCGATAGTAAATTTCACCCAGTGTAGCCCCTGCTTGAACCCAAGCACTCTCTTGCTCAATATTAACACTAATTGATCTAAGATTAAACATATCAAGTATGATAAAAGGAACATCGGAGACATAAGAAATTGCTTCATAATCATGGCCGCCGCTACGGATTTTGAGTTGAACCCCAATGTTTTTGGCACAAATCACAGAGGCCTGAACATGAGATACTTTCAAAGGGGTCACAATGATTCTGGGTTTTGGAGTTGAGGAAGTGTTGAACCGGCGGTTTCTGACGTATGCTTGAAGCACAGAGGTGTATGAAGAATTGCTGGGACTGTAAACAATTGATGAAATTTGGTCATTTGGGCCTGATTGCTTGGTTAAGCACTGGACAAAGGAGTCATAGTTTGGATCTGAGGCAGCATACGAGAGAGAAACGAGATTGAAGAGAGGAGAGAGAAGAAAAAGGAATGAGAGCAAAGAAATATGAGCAGTTTTGGAAGTGTTCATCGTTGCTCTTGATGGTTTTCTTTTTTGTTATGGGAGAAATGGGTGCAAATCTTTGTGGATTATATACTCAAGGAAAGGTTATCCTTCCCTGTGTGGAATTCATAAAATTACACTCTAATCCCGTAAACTATAATCTTAATCTCACTCTATCCCATTTGTTATCGAATTTCTATTCCTGTTCCCTTGCTTACTTAAACTACTTTCACCTTATCTCAAAATCAAACATTAGATACGTTTTAAGTGAAAAATATGCAAATATACTGTGAATTACTTATTCTTAATGACATAATTGGAGTAATGCAGCGAAATAAATTCTATTTGGTGGTGCAATGCAAGAAATAATTCTACTTTAAGGTATATCCCGTGGAACATGTGAAGGATCAAAATGTAATTTTGCCTTTAAGACTTATTGTCGGCAGTTTAATTTTGATAAAGGGGGGTTTCCTAATAACGCGTTACTGTGTTGACTAGACAATTCTTGGCAAGATAACAGACAACAAAGATAGGGAAGGTATGTCTTCAGATATTTTAGATGAAGGCGGCAAATGTCTATTGAGTGGGGATTGTTGGTTCCCAGTATTATATTATGGAAAATTCGTAAGATTAAGGTAGAGAAGGGAATAGCCAATTAAACTAATGACAAAGGTAAGATTAAGGTAGAGAAGGGAAGGTGTATCATTAAGGTGGGACCCACAAGACAATCTAGATTATTATTAATTGTAGGAACACGTGTATATGGGGGGAAATGAAATATATGGTATTATACTATAAAATAATTAAATTAAGGATGAGATGGCTTCCCTTTTTAAATATTAATTTATTATAATTTTTCATATTACATGTGTCCTTCGTAATCACTTCCATTATTTTTTTAAAATTACTTCAAAATTTAAAATTTTAATTAAATTTTTTAATTATTTAAAATAAAAATAAATATTTATTTTAATACTAATAGAAATTGTAAAGAAAATTATGGTAATGGAAGTGATAATAAAAAGAGATAACAAATTTCCTGCAAAGCACGAGGTGCCTACTAGTTGTTTATAAATGCGTCATTTATATATATGATGAAAAATCGCTTGATGAGATAATTTAAAACATATTACTAAATTCAAATGAGTATTTTAAATTTCGAAAAATCTAAGATACAATATATTTGTTGACAGGATAAATTCTCACTATTCAAAAAGAATTGGTTATTTTGCAATTGAAAAATGCTCGACTACCTAAATCACAACTTAAATTTTATATCTCAAATGTATGTGCACCACATATTGAATAAAAAAATTAATTTTTTGAGTTTTGATTTAGATAATATAATGCTCCGTTTGGTAAGGAGGATGGAAAATAGGAAGGATGAAAAGTAGGAGGAATACACCTTCTATCCTTTAAAGATGAAAAGTAGGAAGGATACATTTTCCTTCATTTGTGTTTGGTTGAGTGGATGAAAAATAAAAATAACTATTTTTTTTTTGGTACTAGCTAAGATAAGAAGTGACAATAGAGTCGAGTCGAGCCGAGTCATGTCAGATTTGTGTTGAGTCATTACGAGTTTGTGTCGAATAATAGTTAAACGTAACTTAACTCATTTAACTAATTGTGTCGTGTCGAGTTGCCAGTTGACCTATTTATTTTCATATCGAGTTCGAGTCGTGTCATCATGTAGAGTCGAAAATTTTCACCCTTAGTTAAGATAGAAAAAATATTTTTTTTAACTTAAAATTTTTATTTTTTTATTTTTATTTTATTATTATTTTTAATTTTCTTTATTTGTATTTTTTTTTAAATTAATTTTTAAAATTTTTTAAAATATATATACATATTTTACCACTGTATTTTTATATAAAACTAATGTATACATAAGATATATAGACAAATAAGATACATCTCAATACAAATAATTAATTTTTCATCCACTTTCCTTTCGATTTTGGAGAGATTGAATTTGGTGAGTTGAAAGGAAAGTTAATTCATCCACTTTTTTATCTTCCTACTTTTCTTCATTACCAAATATGATGTTTTATTTATCTCTTCAATTTTTCATCCTTTTAATTTTTTATCATTTTATTTTTTTTATCGTACCAAACGAATTATAAAAATACTCTTTGCAATTAGAGATGAGCTTAAAACCAAAAATTGAAAATCATGTTTATCTATGTGGACCAGGCATTTCACTACAAATAAATGCAGCCTGTGAGCTGTTTTTTTTTATTAACAAGTAAAAAAAACTACACACTAAAGTGGTAGAATTCATAACTTGAAGTTGTTATTTCTTGATGGGATGTGTGTGACTTGCGTCATTAGTTTTGACACATGGCCTAGGATTTTCAAACGATATGGCTCCTGAGTTACCATAGTCCTAGACCGGTAAGATTAACTCCACTCCACTAAAACCGAGTATGCATACTTGAGGGAGAAAGGATTTATATACGGGTAAGGTCGAGTGATATCGTCGATCATTAACTGCCTCGGGGTAAGTGCCTCTCGCATAATAGATTGATGTGGTAAGGGAAAATTAACCTATCACATCAGTTGATAATCTAAATTATAAGTGATCGGCATTAGACAATGAATGCAAGGCGTTGAGCACTTTTTGTTTGACACCCCTTTATATAGACCTTTAGGGGACTAAAAACCTAATTAACTTCAGTCTCTATGGTTATTGACCGAGTTTTGTCAATGTGTCCGGACGTGTTTTTTAATCGCGCAGACGTATTTTATTTTTTTGGTCTTTTTATTTATCGTGTCCGGATGCTTGTTTTTAATCGTCCGAATACACTTGACGGTGTCTTCCTTGTTTTTCTTTGAGAGTTTCATTTGGATACACTTAATCTTCCGTCCAAACGCGTGTCTTCTATCCTTTTTTAAGTGGTCTCCAAAACTTTCGAACGCTTGAGACTGAAACATTCTTTTTGCTTCCTTGTTGCTCTTAATTTATTCCTCCCCTTGTATTTTGTCCTTCCAATCATTATTAAATCAATTTACCAACAAAAAATTAGACAAACACTACCAAAAAAAAAAAAAAAGATGATATCCAAATTTCAATTAATTCAACACAATTAATGCATTCCCTAACATAATTAGTCAATAATTAATATAAATTTTACACAACATCCAGGACTAATCACCCGACCTCCTAAGTATTAATGTTATGATTATATCTTGTGTGACAAGAATTACTAAGGCATGACGGGATGTACTAAATGCACGACTCGATGCTGACTAACGTTCTGATGTGACGATCCTCAAAAGAGATTTCTGTAATAGGCTACCACGTGATAGTTAAATATAAACAAAAAATAATTTAAATAATTTTTCACAAAAAATGTATAATATATTTAGTTTTGACCAAAAGTTGAATAGTTCATAATGAACATTGTGTAATTTAAATAGTTTTTTAACTAAAATTTAGTCAAAAATTATCCAAATATTTTTTTTGTTATATTTAACTATCACGTAACAAGTTTATTATAAAAAATTATTAATAATTTGGACACTATCTACTTAAGAGACCATATAAAAATATATTTAATACTTTAAGGAATAAAATAATATAATTAAAATATTAAAAATTAAAATAATATAATTAAAATATTAAAAATTAAAATAAGACAAACTTCGTACTTTCGAGTTCTTCAATACAATTATCCCTAATTTGGTGCGCTTTTGTATTTGATTGAATTCCTTGTGACGGTCTTTTGAAAACAGTGGGCAACACCGTTAACTTTTGTACAAAGAAGTGCATATGTGCCAAAGGTAGTTACTTGTTACACTTCTATACCTCCAAATGTTGACCCCCTTGTGGCCATATTTAAATGACACTAAGTTTAAGTTTAAGTTTAATTTAATTAGGAATAGGTGTCTTATTACCGAAATGTAGTTAATATTAGCAACAACTTTATTTTGGAATTTTTATTCTTTTTTTAGAATATCCGATCAATATAGGTAAGAGATTACTATTATTAGTCATAAATTTAGGATACCCACCATCATTAAGAATTGGTTATAAAAAGTAATCTTATTACCAACTCGAATTACTGAATAATTGACTATCAAAATATGATAATTTAGGATTTAAAAATAAAAATCTTATCCTCAATTAAGATTACCGCTATCAACACGGAACTTAAGATTCTCTCTGATTTGAAAGGGAAAAAAAGACTAATGTTATGCTTATCAAATAGTATTTATCAAAATATTAATTAAATAATGTGGATAGTTAGATAAGTGATACCTACTAATTTTTTCGATTAGAATCCACATGTACACTCATTCACAATGATTATGTAAATATTTTGGTCAACATGGCACTTTTTGAAAAAAAAAACAGGTAATTTGACGTCCAGAACAATCGCACCAAACTTTATTTATTATAATAATCAAATAGATAAAGAAGATTTGAAAAACATTTAATTACTTTAATTCTCTAATTTTTGAGCTATTTAATAGACAATGAATTTTTTAGTGAAATTCTTTTATGTGGTTTAAACGTAACAACTTCTACTAGTTTTGGTAACTGCTATAAATTTTATTTTTAATAAATCAAATTAGCACTGCAATAGTTTTTTGAAAAGTATTCCCAATTTAAAAAATTTAAGAAATCAATTATGATCACTAATAAATAACATTTCAACAAAATTTGGAAAAAAGTGGAGTTGGGGTGGGTAAAGGATGACATTGTAAACTTCATATATCGTACAAGATTGTTATATTTCATTATAAAAATAGAGAGTTCTATAAAAGATTATCAATGTGCGTGATTGCAAAAAGTAAAATGAGGAGAGAGAGCAAAGACAGAGAGAGAGATGAGAATAGAAAGAGAACAAGAGATAAACTCAAACTGACTATGGTTGATTGAGATAAACTATTCACTTTTTTAATACATATTCTAATAGATTTTTTATATTTTTAAATATTATTTTTTATTTCTTTTATATTATTTTTTTTAGAATAATGAAAGGGAGAAAGAGAGAAAATGAAAAAAAGGAGAGGTAGAGAGAAAAAATAATATAAAGTATGTTTACAAGTTGTTACAGTGACACT